GCGTCCCCTGGCTTAGCCCGGGAAAGGGGCCCCCCTCCATGAACCTCTCTTTCCCCCCCTCTCGCGGTCGCTTCTGCGCCTCTTTTCTGTGTTTTCCATACTCACAAAGCTCTGACGGCTCTCTTTCGGAGCCTCTTCCATGGTGGTCCGACAATACTGAGGCGGGGAGTCGCGCAGCCCCTCCTCACGCGCCGCCCGCCTCCTCAGGTAGCCACAGAGCGGGCGAGGCGGGTCGCGCATGCGCCGAACCGGCCCCGTTCCTCCCTGCGTTGTTAGGGACTCGCTGTGAGAATGAGAAAGGGAGGCGGGGGGGAAATGGGCGGGGCGGCTTCGGCGCGTGCGCGGTCCAGCCCTCCCGCTCCTGTTCCCCCTCCTCCATCCCGGCGGGCGCGAGCGAAAGAACCGTTGGAGAGAATTCAAGTGTCCCCCGCGACGGAGTTGGACGGAAGGGGCGGAGGCGGGGCCAAGGGACCGAGGGGCGGGGTTAGGCGCCGACCAATGAAGTCGAAGAGCTTCGGTTCGGTTCTGCGTCTCATTCGGTGGGCGCCCTGAGGGGGCGGTGCGAGCGGCTACGCGCCGTTTTGAGCGGGCGAGAGACCCGGATGATGAACGGCGTTAAAAGCCGGCGTGACTGACGGGCCTTCTCGTTCTCTGAGAATATTTTCTGAGAGGGTTGTTTTGAAATGTCGAATAAAATAAATTCAGTCATAAATAATACTGCGTCAATCAGTTCTACGGAACAGCATCCCACAAGCTGTTTCTCTGTTGTAACTACAATGCCCACATTCCAGGCCTATGCTAGGTGGGGATGATGGAAATTAAAATTCGATGTTTTTGGAGGGTGCTGATGGATGCCACAGGAATTTTGCATTTTCCCCCACTGTGGGTTATGCTTATTTAAAATATGTTTTTGCCCAGCCTTTCTCCTTAAAAGGACCCCAGGAGGCTTCTTCCATTGGCTGATGGATGCCACAGGAATTTTGCATTTCCCCCCATTGTGGGTTATGCTTATTTAAAATATTTTTTTACCCAGCCTTTCTCCTTAAAAGGACCTCAGGCGGATTCTTCCATTATTAAAAGGTGATATTAAAACTAACAAATGACTATCCAAATCCTACAAAAGATCAAATATCAAACAAAAAACATAAGCATTGCCAAAACACATTCAAAGGAAAAAGGCACCGCCATCCATTTACAAACCCCACTCGTGGGCACCGCCATCCATTTACAAACCCCACTCAGGTGGCTAGTCACCGAGGGAAAGCTTGCCTGAAGAGAAAGGTCTTGGCCTGCTTGCAGAAGGATAGCAAACATGGGGTCAGTTTGGCCTCCAGTGGCAAGGAGTTCCAGAGTAAAGGCACAGCCACCAAGAAGGTCCAGAGTCTAAAGGCACAGCCACCAAGAAGGCCATCTCCTGTGTCCCCAGCCAACACATCTGTGAGGATGATGGGACTGAGAGGAAGGCCTCTCCTGAGGACATTAGAGGACAAGTTGGTTGGACAGGATCATGAAAGCGACCAACATGAATTTGATCCAACTCCGGGAGGCAGTGGAAGACAGGAGGGCCTGGCGTGCTCTGGTTCATGGGGTCACCAAGAGTCGGACACGACTAAACAACAAAAGCCATTGCTTTGTTCTCCCCCGGTTATTATTGCTGAAGAACTGCCAAGTTCTCTTTATGTGCCTCTGATTCATGGCGGCCTTATGGAAGAACAAATGAATGAATGAGCAACTTACTAAGGGAAAAGGGAGGGAGACCCAATAAATTGTAAAACATGTAAAATGCAGAAAGCTACAATACTTCGGCCATTACAATAAATTGTAAAACATGTAAAATGCAGAAAGCTACAATACTTCGGCCATTATTACATTACAATAAATTGTAAAACATGTAAAACGCAAAAGCTACAATACTTCGGTCACCCTTATTTGTTTTCAAGATAAAATAAATGGGGAAAGCAGCACAGGCAGAATGTGTCAGCTCAAAAAGTATTTATTTGTTAAACTTGTATGCCACACTAATTAGTAGTAAACATTACTCTGGGCAGAATTGAGTAAACATCAAACAAATCATAAGTAGAGTGAAAAACAGACACAGCACATAATCGTTAAAACAGCCATCGAATAAATCAGTGAAAAGCAGACTAATGGTGAACCGACAGTCTAAAAGTAAGTAATCAGCTGTATTATGTTAAGAGACGATATTCTGCGATATGATATTCTGAAAGGCTTTAGTCAATGGCCTAGTCTTGAGCACTTGGTGGCACTTCCTAAAGGAAGTAAGGGAGGAGTCCAGAAGTAGCTTTTCCTAGGGAAATACATTCCAAAGGAATGAGACCATCAGATCCTGACCTCCCACCATGTAGTGACTTGAAGGAGCATGGACGGCAAGGAACAAGTGGATGGCGTGGATGTCTTTAGAGAAAGGCGCTCTGATCAGTGTTGAGGTCCAAAAACATGAAGGGCATTATAAGTAATGTTATGCCAAACAATTTACCTTAAACAAAAGACTGAGACACGAAGGCTTTTCTATTGAAGTTCATTTTATTTACATGAGAACAAAACAAACGGAACACCACTGCAGTTGGTGGGAAGAAAAACCAATTTCACCTAAATTGTGGCTGATTAGGATTTCTTCAAAGAACAAAGGAATTGGTACAGTCTTATAGCTGTCCCCTCAGGGCGAGAGGGGTGGGACTTTGAGGTCATTAAGTTAGTTAGCAACAATTCATTGGATTAGTGAAAACACATTTTAGACATGCGCAGAACAATTCACTTTCCCTAAATCGGGCCCCTTGTCTCAACATTCCATGCTTATCTCAGAAAAGCGTGAGACCTTGAACAGAGAAAAAAAGGCAAGGAGAAAGGGGGGGTCGAGGAGCCTGTTTTTACAAGGCTGGCTAATCTCTTCTGAATACACACACACACACCAAACAACTTGTTTTTCTTTTTCAAGTAAGAACAATCTTTTATGAGGCAATTGCCTTAATTGAATAAGTCAAACTTTTACTTCTATCAGTAAGAACCAGCACCTTGAATCTGGCCCGGTACAATGCAGGCAACCAGTGCTGACTGACCAGAAACGGGAAATGTGCTCTTACTTCTTCACATTCGACATTGGTCTCTCTGCTGCATTCTCTACCTGTTGGAGTTTGTGGGTCAGTTTCAAAAGAATCTCAGTGTAGGGAACAAATATTAAGAATATCAGAAGAACATCAGAAGGGCCCTGCTGGGTCAGGCCAAGGGCCCCTCTAGTCCAGCTTTCTGTATCTCACTGTGGCCCTCACCAGATGCCTGTGGGAACCCCCAAGACAACTAGATCTCTGTCTCCTGATCCCCCTCCTCTGCCTCTGGCATTTGAAGGCCCCTTCCTTTGACGGCTGGAGATGATGATAGATAGGGGGTTCTGATATAACATATACGAAGTACTGGCTTTACAATTTAAGGTAACACGTGCTATTTGATTCAAAAGCATCTAGGCCAGATGCCATCACCACATCCTGTGCCAAGGAGTTCCACAGACTAACCACATGCTGGGTCAAGAAATCTTTTCTTTGGTCTGTTCTTAGTCTCCCAGCATCTGGTCTTGTGTGAGAGGGAAAAGAGCTTCCCTCTATCCACTTGGTCCATCCTCTGCATCATTTTAGGCGTCTCCATCATGTCCCCCATCGTGTGCCTTGTCTCTAGACTCAAGAGCCCCAAGGGCTGTGTGGGATGCAAGCTGGATATTTTTCTCATGTCTACCACGGCCAGTGGGATGGCCCAGCGGGCACACATGGAGTTCAGGAGGCCAATGAGGGGATGCTGTGCTTTATTGTTCTTTGTATAAATTGCTCTTACCCATTAATGAGGGGGTTCGTTCCGTTTTTAGGAATGACGCCCAGTCATATGTATGTTTGAATAAAATTGGCTTATACATAGACTGATTGATGCACTATTTTTCCTGCCGGAGAATTAAAATCTAAAATTGGGTGGTAACAATGATACATCCCCGTCATGGCTTGTCACCTGCGATGGACTTTTCATCCAGGAATCTGTCCAATCCCCTTTTAAAAGCATCTAGGCCAGATGCCATCACCACATCCTGTGCCAAGAAGTTCCACAGACTAACCACATGCTGGGTCAATAAATCTTTTCTTTGGTCTGTTCTTACTCTTCCAGCATCTAGTCTTGTGTGAAAGGGAAAAGAGCTTCCCTCTATCCACTTGGTCCATCCCCTGCATTATTTTAGGCGTCTCCATCATGTCCCCCAAGGGCTGTGGCCTTTCCACATCAGGGAGGTGCCCCAGCCCAGTCATCATTTGAGTTGCTTTCTTCTGCCCCTTTTCCAATTCCACAATGTATTTTTTTTTTGAAGTGTGGTGACCAGAACATTGCAGTAGTCAATCCTTGAGATTGTGCAGAATCATCAGAACAATGTTTCCTGATTTCTCCAAGCAGAAGACATTCCAGTGCTACTGGGTCTGGTGTCTTTCTAACAAAGCAGCACGCAACGTGTCTAGCATCTTCGTGGTACTTTTTTTTCCTATGAACACTTACAAGCCGTGGAGTTTAAGATGGGGAAAACAGCAGGTACTCCTGTGAAGCAATGGATCCCTAACTATCTGTGAGCTTTCCAGTAAGAGACACCTTGTATTCCTGATGTGTTCTTGCCAGCCTATTCCAAAATGTCAGACTGCTCCATCAGCTGACCATTTGGGGCGATTAACCAGCAATTTGCTGAACAAAGGAAGTATTGGCCAGTGTCATTAGGAAAGCATTTCGAAGCTGGCACAGACCAAAATACCTATAATTTAAAAAACAGAAAAGCAAAGCATGCTGCTTATATACTGCTCTACAGCGTTTAAAGCACTCTCTGAGCAGTTTACAACTTAATTGTGCAGGCTGCACATTGCGCCCTGCCCTAGTGAGCTGGTTACTCAATTTGTCTAATTCAAAAGGATGGGAGGGTGAGTCAACCTGAAGCTGGTTATCTGGGATTGAACCCAGGCCATGAGCAAAGTTTTGGTTGCAGTACTGCAGTTTATCCTCTTTTCTGTATCTATCTTGCAAAAACTTGAGCAACACAACTGCATAAAATACAAACCAGCAGAAAACAGATTTTGGTCTATGGAAGAAATTAATAGGCTGGAATTCTGTTGGGTTGTGTGACTGCAGAATAAAGATTACACAAGCCAAATACAGTATATGCTTTTCTAGGCTGTCCAAGACAAGGTTAAATTCAAATGGTACTTTCAAATCTACTGTTTTAATTAACTTTGAAGGTAGCTTCTTGAGAATAACTTCCCATGGTTCATCCTTGGGCAACCACAGTT